GTGAGGCAATATGGTGGGAGGGGGTGAGGGTAGAAGTGTGGGGGGGAGGAGGGACAAGGAGGAGGGGGAGTGAATGAAAAAAACAAAACAAAAACAAAAACAAAAAAATTATAGAAGACATCTCCCAAGCAGAAGCAGGCTTGTTAAGACAAACTATGTTAATAGAGGAGTAGAGGGAAGCAAAAATTTATGCGAAGCACAGATCAACACACTAATAAAGTCATGCAGGAGTAAAAGAAAACAGCCTTGATAACCTCACCTATCACTTCAATACAGCATTATTTAAATTTCAACTAGAGGCTCAAGTATCGAGGGTTTTTTTTTTTTTTTTTAAACATGCTTTCATTTGCAGATCTAACAAATGTATTTTTTATCTTCCCACCAAGAAATACAACCTGTGCCTGCAGAGACAGATAGCTGATGTTTTTCTTTTATTGCGGCTGACTGTTTTAACCAGGATGTTACAGGTTTTTTACAGTCATGGGGCATCATGCATGGTGGTGCTTTGCGAGCTTCAAAGGGTGGCAAGTTGTTATCGAGCCAATCACGTTAAAAGTAGAGCAGTAAAAAGAGGCTAGAGTCCACTGTAATAAGTCAATCATAAAATCTAATGCGCTCCCTGTATGGCTTTACAGGAAACAATGAGTCAGACTCAACAACATCATATGTACCATGATTTGTGTCTATCAAAAAGATTTCATGGTCATCTTCTACTAAAATTATTATTACCCCTCTACTAAACCAGAGAAACAATACAAGGCTCGGATAGCATGCCAATAAAAGAAATTAAAAATATCCAGTCCACACTTTGTCACACACTAAGCATATAGCTCGTCATTACTGGTATGAACAATGCAATTTGCATTTTCAACTCATGCATGCAATGACTGTAGCTTAGAGTGGCAAGGTGTGAAGAATAAATCGAAAACAGTGCTTTTTTTCACAACTGGAGCAGGAGAGCCTGCCTCATGATCGTGCATGTCGGTTAATTTACTAAAAAGGCATCAATTTTGTACTTTTGTGTCTGACAAACAATCGAGGGAACGATGTCGTCACTCAGCCGTCAGACTGCGGATAGGAGCCGGAGTGAATGACAAGGGGGAGCTGAACGGCAGCCATTTTCTCCAGGAAGTTGATTAGAGCTGGACACGACGACGGTGATCTGGCAGAGGAACTTGAATGACAGGGTCTGCTGGTCGGCTGGTTGCTCGGTCAGTTGGCAGGTAGAGAGTGGAGGGTGGGTGTGTGGTTTGTTGTGTTTTAATGTTAATGATCTCACCTGGTTTTTGGTCTGCTGTTGTGCTTTGTCTCGGCTTTCTCTGGGCTGCAGGGGCGTGTCACTGGGGATAGGGCCTATCGGTGTGGGCTGCGGGAAACACAGTGTCAAAGTTGAGACAATTTAAGGGAAATAATAATGAAGAGTAAAAACTATGGGGTTGAATTTAGGGAGAGGTAAAAATATTAAGCGGCCACAATGTAGCTACTTTTTCATAACAGAGTTTGAAGAAATAATTGGTTATGATCTAGTGAGAAATTATTAAAGTGAGAGCAATGAAACAACTGCAGCTGTGACACTCGATGGTCAAATCAAAGGATTTCAGAGAGAAAGGAGGGGGAGGATGAGTGGATTCAGTAAGAGGCACTCACAAGTGATTTGCCGACCCAGTCATATTCATAGTCAAAGACATAGCCGTTCCTGTCGAACAGATCGGTGAAGAGCTTCCTCAAGTAGTCATAATCAGGCTTCTCAAAGAAGTCCAGCCTCCTCACGTAGCGCAGGTAGGTGGCCATCTCTTCTGTAGCAAAAGAGAAGATTTCGTTAGGTTTCAGATCTGGCTGAATGAGGAAGAAATGAAACGACGCAGTAAACAAAGGGAACTGGTTGGTTCTACTGACCAGGGAAGCTTTCACAAAGCACTTCAATGGGTGTCGCCCGTTTGGTGTCCCCAATTTTCTGATACCTCTCCTTCAGAGTGTCCGCCTAGAGGGGAGATACAAAAAAACAAAACACATATTACACTCAGAATTTGAGCAAATACACAGCTGCGGACAGTGTAAGCAAATAGGTGTAATATTCAAATGTGGTACATATTCGGCACTTGAGTTGAAGACAGATGCAAATACTCTGGTTAGTCATTCTGAATCCTATATTTACCTTATTATTACATATTATACAGATATGTAAAGCACTGAGGGCTTGTGTTTATTCCAATTCTAGACCACTTTTGCCAGAAGCTCAAAGACCTTTAAAGCCGACTGTGTGAACCACAGTACTTGTTGGGTCAGTTCCTGTCCATCATGTCACCTGACTGTTTCTCCAACCCTCCCAGGATGATTCCTGTAAGTCTCCTTGGGGACGAATCATTCTTCTCTGCTATGTTATTATGATATACTCTGGCATCACAGTGTGAAATTTCATACCCGTTGAATGCATCCAAAATGGCTGCATTACACCCACCGGCCTTTCAACTATGCATGATAGGTTCTCTTATTGTCTAGGTGTCGTTCAGGCAACACCCTCAACCAACCGTGATCGGGCCAGAAAAACATCTTCCACTCATCCATTGTCAAGTGAGGACAATTCTTCACCTGCTGCTCTTCACCAACCAAGAATTACACTCCATAAAGATGTGAGTGCAACTTCATTGTGAGTTCCATATTTGGTCACTATTCTCCTTCGATGCATTTTGATGCCGACTGTCATGTTGTGTGTTGGTGAGAACTTGTTTTGGCCCGAGCCACCCGACATCCCCCACATTCATACATCCCTCACATTCATCTACCACAAGCTTCCTCCCACATAGCAAATGTTCAGATGAAGTGTTTTATAGTCTATTCTATGTACACCTTTGATATTGCCTGATGTGTAGATATTAGGCTGAGAAACATCCAGCAGCTCTGTGCAGCTATAACCTGTTCTCCTGGCACCTGTCAACATGTCCGTGTTTCTTAATGCTTTAAGCCGTTTCTCAGTAAACTGTTCAAATGCAAAGCACATGTGTTGTTGCAAGTGACTGTTTATATAGCAACATATGCAAATACAAGGTAGGGCGCACATCTACCAGAACAGAGGCTTTATTTTTCCAGTCACTGACTGAATAGATTTTATTGTGAGGACCTATGGAGAGTACAGTCATGAAAACATCAACACAAGTTTGATGATAGAATTACTTTATAATAAGGAAGATAAGATTAGCTATCACTATAATGTGGCCACTGAGAATTCTTCATTCTGACTGGCTGACAGGTTGTTAGTTGAGGCATAACTCTGCTGGAATAATGTTGTTAACATTGTTGAGCATGTCATCTACCACTATTCACTTTTATTGATCTTTGGGTGTTTATGATGTGTGTTTGGGTGACTGGGGGGCAGCTGCTGTTCTCACCACTCACCAATCAGTACATAAGCAAAATAGAAAGTTTTGAAAATCTCTTTTTGACCACAGAACACAATGAAGAA